AACCCCGGTTCAGGTACTGGGTCAAGCACCGGCGATCCCGCCTCCCCAAGCTGGGCCACACTCGAGCATGCTCAGAGACGGCCTTTGCGTGGCAGTCGTCCCTTGGCTTCAGCAAGACGTCGAGCAGCGCAGACAGGCAGCAGAAAAGCTGGCACACGCCAGGCGAGGGAGCCATGGCCGCGACTTGGTGGCGGCTATTTCCGGTTGTTCGGTAAAGGGGCTTCGAAGCCTGCTCTTGACACATTGAGGGCTTGAGCCTGCACAAAGCTGCTGGTTCTCAACGAACCTAGTCACTTTCGAGCGGCTTGGTTCCTTTTCCTGAACATTCTAGTCACTTTCGAGCGGCGCGCGCTTGTTTCTCACACATTCTAGTCATGTTCGAGCGGTTTGCTCCTGCTTTTCAAACGCTCTTTTCGCTTTGGAGTGATTTGCTCCTGTCCCTTTATCATCCTAGTCAGTTTCGAACGGCTTGCTCCTGTTTCTCAAACAATCTAATCCTTTTCGAGTGTGTTGCTCCTGCTCCTGTTTCTTAAACATTCTAGTCACGTTTGAGCGGCTTGCTTCTGTTTCTCGAACATTCTGGGCGATATCGAGCGCTTTGCTCCTGTTTCTCAAAGACTCTTTCGAGTGGTTTGCTCCTGCTTCCCAAACATTCTAGTCAGTTTCGAGCGGTTTGCTCCTGCTTCCCAAACATTCTAATCAGTTTCGAGCGGTTTGCTCCTGTTTCTCAAACTTGCTAGTCACTTTCGAGCGGCTTGCTTGCCTCCTGTGTCTCAAATATTCTAGTCAGCTAGTCACTTTCGAGCGGTTTGCTCCTGTTTCTCGAAGACTCTTAGTCCCTTTCGAGCGGCTTGCTCAAAGAGTCCAACCCCCTTCTTTCGAGTGGTTTGCCCCTGTTCTCCTTTTTCTCAAAGACTCCAGTCCTTTTGCTCCTGTCTCTCAAGCTTTCTAGTCACTTTTGAGCAGTTCGCATTTCTTTCGTAAAGACTCTAGTCCCTTTCGAGTGGTTTGCCCCTGTTTCTCAAAAATTCTTGTCATTTTCGAGAGGTTTGCTCTTGCTTCTCAAAGATTCTATAGTCCCGTTCGATTGGTCGGTCCTGTTTCGTAAACATTCAAGTCATCTAGTCACTTTCGAGCGGTTTGCTCCTGTTTCTCAAAGACTCTTGTCCCTTTCGAGAGGTTTGCTCCTGTTTCCCAAACATTTTAATCCTTTCGAGCGGTTTGCTCCTGCTTATCAAAGAGTCTGGTCCCTTTCTTTCGAGTGGCTTGCTCCTGTTCTCCTTTTTCTCAAAGACTCCAGTTCTTTCGAGTGTTTTGCCCGTCTCTCAAGCTTGCTAATCACTTCTGAGCAGTTCGCACTTGTTTCGCAAAGACTCTAGTCCCTTTCGAATGATTTGCTCCTGTTTGCCAAACATTCTAGTCGAGCGGCTTGCTCCTGTCTTTCAAGGAGTCTAGTCCCTTAGAGGTGGTTTGCTTATTTTCTTAGAAACTCTAGTCACTTTCGAGCGGTTTGCGCCTGTTCCTCAAAGATTCTAGTCCCCTTCGAGTGATTTGCTACTGTTTCTCAAACATTCTAGTCACTTTCCAGCGGTTTGCTCACGTTTCCCGAAAGCTCTAATTTTTTTGAGTGGTGTGATCCTGTTTCTCAAACAGTCACTTTCGAGCTGGTTGCTCATGCTTCTCAAAGACTCTAGTCCCTTTCGAGTGTTTTGCTCCTGTCTCTCAAACTTTCTAGTCAGTTTCGAACGGTTTGCTCCTGTTTCTCAAGGACTCTAGGCCCTTTCGAGTGGTTTACTCCTGTTTCTCAGACATTCTAGTCAGTTTGGAGCGGTTTGCTCCTGCCTCTTGAAGATTCTAGTCCCTTTCGAGTGATTTGTTCTGTTTCTCACACGGTCTAGTCACTGTCGAATGGTTTGCTCCTGTTTCTCAAACAGTCTAATACCTTTCGAGAAACTTGCTCCTGTTTCTCGAACATTCTGGTAATTTTCGAATGGTTTGGTCCTGTTTCTCAAAGACTCTAGTGCGCTTGGAATGGTTTGACCCTGTTTCTCAAACAAATCTAGTCACTGTCGAGCGGTTTGCTCCTGTTTCTCAAAACCTCTAGTTCCTTTCGAGGGGTGTGCTCCTGTTTCTCATGCATTCTAATCACTTTCGAGCGGTTTGCTCCTGTTTCTCAAAGGCTCTAGTCACTTTCGAATGGCTTGCTCCTGTTTCTCAAGCACTTTAGTCTGTTTCGAGCGCTTTGCTCTGCGCGTGGTTTGCTCCTGTCTCTCAAACACTCTAATCACTGACGAGCGGTTTGCTCCTGTTTCTCAAAAACTCTATGCCTTTTCGAGTGGTGTGCTCCTGTTTCTCAAACATCCTAGTCGCTTTCGAGCGGTTTGCTCCAGTTTCACAAAGACTCTAGTCCCTTTGGAGTGGTTTGCTCCTGTTTCTCGAACATTCTCGGCAATTTGGAACGGTTTGCTCGCGTTTGTCAAAGACTCTAGCCCCTTTCGGGTGGTTTGTTGCTTTTCCTCTAACATTCTAATCGAGCAGTTCGCCCTTGTTTCGCAAAGATGCTAGTACCTTTTCGGGTGGTTTGCTCCTCTTTCTCAGGCATTCTAGTCAGTTTCGAACGGTTTGCTTCTGTTTCTCAAAGACTCAAGCCCT